ATTAAATATTAAAGACTGTAGGAAACAATACCGCAATGTACTAATATTTAGGCTAAATATGAAGTGAAGCTGAAGTATAACCTCTGTAAAGTCTTGCAGTGGATGCAACAATATACATAGTAAATATCCTTTACTAGGTAGTCTACAATATCTGATAGTCGATATATTGCGATACAATTTAGTCTCATTGGCGCTACTCAATATTAACGAGATGACAGTTCTGACATAGTTTGAGTTTTATGTAGTATGTGTGTTTTATGTAGCATTCATTAGGGATTGCCACCAGTTAGAGAATCATTGAAAACGTTTTAGCACTAGACAGCTGTTTCATCCTGACATATGATATTTGCTCCTACTTTTCCGTAGCTTTAGTCTGCTATTTTGCCCATGACTTTAAAATAACTTACATGGCTGTTTTTATACCATTTTTCTTCCCTCTGATCTCAAGGCTGAACTCTCATCGGTTGTTAACTATTTTTAAGCATATGTAGATTGTTTTTCAAGGTCACTTAGAGATGTATATATTCAGCAACTCTGTCAACTATATTGACTGTTATTGAGACAGCAAAAAGCTCTCTGTCAACGATCTATCTTCCCTTCACGCATCAGTTCGTTTGCGCGTTAGGTTCGTATCGCTTGTAGACTGTTAGGTCCTACTATCGGTAATAGCAGTATGGGGCTCCACAGCAGTATGCAGTCACGATCCCACCAGGGGTCGAACCCAGGAACCCCAGATCCCACTGAGTATAATCAAAACGGAATTCTGGCAGTTATATTTTTCAGGAAAGCTAAGGACATGGACTGACTCTAATGAGTTTTCATCCACTCCATAAATAATTATGTAAGAGATATTTTCATCGAAAAGTGGTAGGGAGAAAGCTAAATCGAATTCAATATTCTAAGTCATCAGCCGTTAAGGTATATAGTTTCATGTTGCTGTGTGTTCACGAAAAAACCTTATTCGATAGGTTTCTCCTATAGCTGACCAATCAAAATGAACGTCCAAATTCTCACCTAGTGACTTCATATTTTGAGAAAAACTACATATAAGTGATATCCTTTTTGTCTTCCTTCCAGTTACAGTTCTTCTGTCGTGAACTGACACAAGTTGGAAATTGTGAACCACTGGAAACCGACCCAGTGACTGAATAGTTAACGCGTTCGCCGTGAAACCTGAAGGTCCTGAGTTCGATCTCTAGCCAGGTCGTGGGTACGTACTGCTGAAGAGTCACATACTAGAACGAAACAGCTGTCCAGTGCTCCCGGGCCTTCAGTGGTTCCCCATGATGAATACTACTTCTGAGATTTTTGTGTGGATCTAAGATTTCAAAAGGTCACATTGGTTCTAATTATACTTTACAACTTCAAAAACAGTATAAAACGGGAATGCTGATCAATTTATTCTCATCTGAGTCTATACACCTATGATAAATACAGCATTACAAGCTATGATTCAAAGTCTTTCACAATATACTGTAAAAAGAAGTACGCAAAAAGTTTAGTGCTGTAAACAATTAAGTGATATCAAACTAATTACCTCTGAGTATCTCTTGCATTCTATATCAAAGAGGCATGATAATTTGATAGGAAGCAGTCTATATCGAAATCAATATCCTAAGTCATTAGCAGCTACGGCAGAAGTTTTAGATTTCAATCTTGTTACATGTCACTGTGTGGTCAGGAAAAACCTCATTGGACAGTTTTCCCCTATAGCTGACAAATCAAAACAAGCATCTAAATTATCACCTAGTGACTTTAAATTTTGAGGGGAATTGTGTATAAAGGATGTTTTTTCGTCCTCCTTGGAATAACAGAGCTTTCGATTTTCGCGGTTCAGTGAGGTTTAAGGGAGAACAGTCGACAGCCCAAGTGTTTCATTGCGTTTATAGCGTCCTCATGTTTCGTATAATTTTATTAGTCACTTCAAAATTTCTCAAAGTAATATATGTATCAAATCAAATATATGTAGCTTTAGGGCTTCCAAAGTGCTTATATATATGCATAAATTGAAAATAGAAAACTGGTGCTAGGTATATTACGTAAGATTTAACCGAAATAGCTACATATTGAATACAACTGAACCAAGCATTTCATAAGCATGAGATGAATGAATGAAAAACTTAACCCAAGAAACACATGTGTCGTCATGTGTAAGGTAATGAGTGAAACATGTTGTGTGATGCTTACGGCGTTTAGCTACTCAATTCCGATTACTTTCAAAAATAAATACTGATTACAGCTTAACAGCACTATAGTTGTTAAAATAGCTTTGTAGATGGATATAATTTTTCTATAAATAATGGATGCCAAGTGTCTACATTAAGTGCATAAACAGCAGCTTCACAGAAGCATACATCGAAGAAGTGGATGGAAAAGCACTATCCCTAAATCGTACCAAACTGAACGAAAGAAAGAGAAAGAACAAATAAAGTTTTTTTTGACTTCGAAGATGAACAAGAGTGTGTATACCTGCCCAATTGTGACAGATTTTGGCCCACATCCCCACCAAAATTTTCTAACCATTCATTCCCATTGTCTTGAAAGCCCAAAACAGACAAACCATATCTCCCTCTCAACACGACTGACACTAGCAGTCATAAACATCGTACACCGACGACGTCATATATTGGTCTGGCCATCTCTAGGCTTTTACGTTCGAAGCAATCCCACCTTAACCAACAGTATGACCCACAATAAGTGGTGATTCGCCATGCGAAACACATATCCCAGTCATCTCAGTCGATCTCAGTCAATTCACAACTTCATACACCCACTTATCTACCTTCTTCAGTACCACCCTACGCCTAACTTCGACATTTCTCATAGGCTGATATCACTACACAAGAGCAATGCTTCAAGGGACCCTTTCAGTCAAAAACCTTTCAAGATCCATGTCTCATGGTTGTACAGCAGGAAGGAAGAAGTGAGTGGCTGTAAAGCATACTTGTCTTTTGGTACCTAGTCGGATGTTTCGCCTACACTATAAGTGGAATAAGTTGGCGAATACTGAATGGGAGATTTTCATCGTAGATGAGATTTCGTAACCAACAAACCCATTTGGTCTGATTTAACTCTCGAAATAAGTGTATTGGTGCATAGGATCCGCCACTTTATTCATTATCCTTAAACTGGTACCTACTAGTCCTGCAGTACTATTTTGTATTTGACAGTTATGAAGTGTATGCTGTATACATTTTAGATTTTCAATCAAAGTATCTGATAAACCTTGCATTTACCGTTTACCTCCAACTAGACTGTATCAAATATGTACGTCAACCAGTTTACCGTATAGTAATTTAATCCATAAAAAGTCTGCAGTACATCACATACTATACTGGATTTACTGGCAGGATATCTTATCAGCCTTCTTTCAAAATCTAAGCGAAGTTTAAAGACAGCAACGGTGGTAATCAAATATGAGTACTCCATACTCATAATTTGATTAAACGCACATCATCAAAGGGTGCCCCAGGTACAATTGAATAAAGCATACTTCAGAAATTGCAAAGCACAAAGGAAATATAAAAGATAAAAATAAACTTATTCCTCGCTGGAATCGGAGAGACGAAATGACGCCAGTTACAATGCTACGCTACGCACCTACAAAGAATGCAGATCAGGAGAAGGAGGAATTCTACAGACAACTACAATCAGTAATGAATAAGACCACACTCTGGTTGGCGACATCAAAATTCCAATAGGTGACATGAACGACGAACTGGAGCGGATATCACAGAAAGAGAACCAATCATGGGTCAAGAAGCACTTGCTGTTTGCAGACTTCTGAGCATTCAACGATTTGGTGATTGGAGGCACTGTGTACAAGCACAAGGATATTCACAAAGCGACATGGATCTCACCAGATGGCCTTCAATTATCTGAAACTAGTGTGGAGATCTACTCCACTCCACACCACTCAGCATAAAGCATGAACAACATCCGGATTCTCAACACTAATGCCAGTCAATTCAGTGCTTCCATATGATGGTTCAGAGACTTGGCGCCTTACGAAAACCATTTCCAACAAACTACACACATACATCACATATGTAGAAGAAGAGAGTGGAGGTCGATTGGATTAAACTCGACATACACTGAGAAGACTAGTCGAGGACATCATGCACCAGGCCAGGTCGTCGAGTGTAACCCAAATGGGAGGCGATGAGTTGGACGTCCAAAGGTGATATGTAGGAGATCCGTATGAGAAAGAAATGAGAGCTAATGGGCTGTGGTGGAGCCCGTTGAAAAGACTGCAGAGCAGAGAGTGAAATGGCGACGCGCTACTGAAGCGGTATGTTCGTTCTAATAGGAACCCAAGGGACAAATAATAATGATAAAATATACTTCAGACGGACTAGTTAAACAGGAAATATTCAAAGATCTTCATCTTACCATTGTTCATATATACATACATTATAATAACAGCCAATCAGCTGACTACACCACAATCGACATTGGAGACTTATGAAAAACTGGATGTAAGTAAAGCAGTACTCGATTATATCACACGAAATTTCAACATGGAGCCTACCATTCAATAATAACAGCTCAGTAGAGCTATGGCTCATCGGTCCAGGCAGTAGACCTTTAACCAATAAGTCGCTAGTTCGAACCTCAGCGCAGCTACATAGGAAGCTTAAGGGCAGCCAATCATTAGCATAGACCCTCACATAAAAGGTGTGCTTGCCGTTGCTGAATTCAACACAACTACGCCAGAGACCAAAGCGAACCCACTGCAGATACAAATGGAAATAATGCAAAGGCGAATATTTGTTCCTGTTAAACAGTCATGAAATTGATAAAAAGTTAAAGCTTAACTGGTATAAATGACATGTTGATTAACAAACTGAACCGAAAACATTAGGGTCACCATTTCTTTATTTCTCCATTGATATCATGTCAATCAGTCTCATGCAGAGTAGTACAATAAAATACAAAAATCACTGAGAATTTATGCATTTATACATATATGACACATGTTTACTAAACGAAAAACTCACTTCACTATTCAAGAAATTGATCATAGCTTGTTCAGCCAATAACTTTGATTCTTGGAATTTTTCCTCAGCAATTTTTAGCTCATCTTCAGGTAACCTAGAATTACTTGCACCTATAAAGGATAAATAATTGTTTACTGGATAGCTGAACATTGATTCGAATTACTACTGAAAGTAAACGTTAAGAAATACATTACATTGTGATGATATTCACTAATGACACTATATTTCGTATATATCATTGCACTACGATAATTTTCTTTCATTTGATATTTTGAAATGATGGATACCATCAACGACTATCTAAAATCTTTATGAAGAGGTATCAAATTGAAGTGCTTGGAATTTGCGAAAGAAGATGGAATGGGAGTGAACTCTCCAAACTGTCAACTGGAGAATCAATAATCTACTCCGATATTGTCACCTAGACGACAACCACGAGCACACTCAGTTATCGAGTGGCTATCATAACGTCCCCTTGAAGAGCATCGAAGGCTCTCTCTCTCTCTCATACAGTGGGAACCAATCTCCTCCTACAGGATCATAACAGCAAGTTCCAACTCAAAAGGAAGGTAGGTCGCAATCATACAATACTATGCACCTACAAATAATGCAGAGCAAGAGAAGAAGGAGGAATTCTACAGACAACTTCAATCAACACTGGACAAGACACCACTCCAGTTGGCTACATCAAATTCTAATGGGCGACATGAATGCCAAACTGGGAGGGGACAGCACAGGAAGAGAACTAACCATGGGTAGAAAAGCGCTCGGTGAGGTGATCAACGCGAATGGAGAATTGTTTGCAGAATTCTGTGCATTCAACAACTTGGTGATTGGAGTCAGGCAGTGTGTTCAAGCACAAGGATATCCATAAAGCGAGCAACATGGATTTCACCAGACACACTAAAAACCAGACCGATTTTATCTCAATCTCAAGAAAATAGAGACGCAGTCTACTTGACACAACGTCAAGAAGAGGAGCATATGTAGGTTCACACCGCTCACTTTCTAGTACAAGGAACCTACCTTCAAAATCAAGTTGAAAGCCTTCAAGGAAGCTGGTGATAGACCACAGTTCAAGTACAACACTCGGAAACTGAAGGATGAAACTACAAAGGAAATCTTCACGACAGCCAGCCATCAAGACAAAATGGGAGACGGCGTTGAGCAACATCCCTGAAGAAACCTGTATGGAAGGACACTGGAAGTCTTTGAAAGAGATGTGGAAAGAAATCCGCACAGCCGTAATAGGAAGGAAGAAGAAAGAAGATAAGGAATAGATCTCAATGGACACATGGAAGCTGATAGAGCAGGGAGAGGAGGATGGTGAAGCAGAAGATAAACCAGTGCAAGGATGCTCAACGACAAGAAGAAATGAGTACAAGGTATAAAACACTGGACAAAGAAGTGAAGAAGACTGCACACAAAGACAAAAGATACTTCCACAACACACTGGCAAGTTAAGCAGAACAGGCTGCAGGTAGGAGAGACCTGACAACGTTGTATCAAATAACCAGGTTACTATCTGGTAGAGGAGAGATCAACATGGATAAACCCAATGAAAGATATTGGAGGAGTTCCAGTTACCAAAGAAGAGAAACGAAGGAAACGATGGGCTGACCACTTCAAAAGGCTCTTGAATCGACCACCACCTGCAATTCGTCCAGAAATACCACCTGCATCCCAGCCACAGAACTACAAGTGAGCACAAATCCTCCAACAAAAATGGAAGTCCTGAGTGCCATAAAGCCACTGAAATGCGGGAAAGCAGCAGGACCAGATGGAATCCAACCAGAAGCACTCAGAACAGACGCAGAGACAACAGCGGATATGTTCACACCACACCACTATTGCAGAAGGTGTGGAAGGAAGAGAAGGTACCTGGCCATTGATTGGAAGAAGGGTTACCTTGTCAAACTGCCGAAGAAGGGAGACCGAAGTCTTTGCAAGAACTGGCGTGGAATCACGCTTCTGTCCACCCAAAACAAGCATCATCTTGGAGAGACTAAAGGATGCACTGGATTCAAAACTACGACAGGAACAGGCAGGCTTCAGGAAGTACGAATCATGTGCAGACCAAATTGCAACGCCACTCTACGCATCATCATAGAACAGAGTATAGAATGACAGTCAGTCCTCTACCTCAACTTCATCCACTTTGAGAAGGCCTTTGACAGCGTCGACCGAGAGGTAACTTGACAGTACTACGGAATACTACGGAATATCACAAACCTTTATCAATCTCATTCAACAACTATATGAAAACGCCACATGCCAGCCAAGTAATTCACAATGGGAAGCTCAGCTCAGTGATGCTTTTGAAGTGAAGACAGGAGTGAAACAAAGTTGCCTACTATCACCCATGATATTCCTGATTGTGGTCAACTGGACTGGATCATGCAGCAAACAGTGGGGAGTGAGAAGAGGGGGATACGCTGGCTGGACTGTGGAAAAGAACTTAGAAAATCTGGATTTCGCCGATGACATGTGCCTGATGTCACACAAACTTGAAGATCCACAGGCGAAAGCTAACAAGTTGGCAGGAGAGGCGAGGCAGCGAAGACGGGACTTCAGGTGAATATAGAGAAGACAGAGGTGGTGAAGATACCGCACCAACAACTCCAACAACAACAACAAACTCCAGTCACCATCAACGGAAGAAACTTAAAGGAAGTAACCTCCTTCACCTATCTAGGCAGCACTGTTTCAACTACAGGTGGCACAAACGAGGATGTCAAAGCCAGCCAGGATCGGAAAAGCAAGACAGGTGTTCATTAGCCTGAAACCAGTGTGGAGATCTTCTGCACTCAGCATGCGGAACAAGATACGGATTTTCAACACCAACTCACTCAAGTCAGTGCTTCTGTGTGATGGTTGAGAGACTTGGCGCGTCACGAAAGGGATTTCCAATAAACTACAGACATTCATCAACAACTGCCTAGGCTGGCTCGATACTGAAGATCAGATGGCCAGAAAGAATAAGCAACAAGGAGCTCTGGGAACGAACTAACCAAGAAGCTATCGCTCAACAAATATGCAGTAGAAGGAAGTGTAGATGGATTGGGTTGGGCATACACTGAGGAGGCCGACTGAAGACATCACGTGTCAGGCAAGGTACTCGAGTGGAACCCAGATGAGAAGCGACGAGTTGGGCGTCCCAGGTATGGGTGACATGAAGGAGATCGTGCGAGAAGGAAATGAAAGCTTGTGAGCTGTCGTGGAGCCAAGTTCAAAAGATTTCAGGGAACAGAGTTCACTGGAGACGTGCTAGTGAAGCCCTACGTTTCATTAGGAACCCATGGGACTAATAATAATAATAATAACAATTCAAACAAAACACATACAAGTTATGATGTACACATTACTGCAACTGAAAATGAGCTGAACCTATCCACTGACTTTATCCTCATGAAACAGCCATTGCCATATCATTATGAAATTATATTAAACATGAAATGTTAAAAGAAATGCTCGGAAAGATAGTTCTCTTACGTTTCTATAAAAAATCCTGTAGAGAAATATCACCTGATAATAAATAATACAACATTTAATTTGCTACCTTATTAGAAGATAAGACGGTACCACGGTGAGGATCATCGAATTGTATTATACTGTTTAATGTATAAAACCAAACATGAGAAGTGCATGAAACATATTTTCCAGAGTCAATAGCAGAACCTGAGAAAGTCTTATTTGAAAGAATAATTTACGAATAAAGCAGGAATGACGATTGATTAATCACCACTAAACATTATACAGCTACATTGGTTATTAATGGTGACCGATTCCTGGGCATAATCTAGTACTATAAGGGGTCTGTCGTTACCTGAATAAATTAGTGGCTAGGTATTTGACTTCACCACTGAGTGACGCGGGCTCAAATCGTAATCTATTTAGCAACCTTGTGCACATTCGTGCAGTAGGCAATGAACCATGCCTATTGTTTGCGGGGGCCTATGATACTACCTGGCTGTCTAAACCTTGGAAGATAGAGTGGTGCTGGAACCCGTGACCTTTTGGCTGAAATTCACCTACTCAAACCAATGGGCCACAACTCCGGGTTCGAAAATTTAACGTAACACCAGTTTCGTCATGGATGCAGATACGCCTTTTTGATGAGTATGAAAAAGGATGAAAACTAAGTATAAAGCTGCTTGTTTATCGACTCCCACGACTTAACACCAAAAGGCAAGATTTCATTTTGTGAAGCAACAAGCTCCATGCTACTTTACGCTTGAGAAATATGTGACAGCCGGAAGAAAAATTTACAAGTAAGGCGGAAATCTAATTTGCAATTGGAACTAGTGATCCAATCGGTAGAACATCAGACTATTAGACATAGGGTAGATGGTTAGAATAAACTCAGCAACCGCATGTACGTTTGTACAGTAGCCAATGAGTCAGATTTATTGTGTGACGGTTAATAATACGACCCGGATGCTTGAACATCGGTTTCGAACTCATCACTTAGTAGTTTAAAGTCAACTATATAAAACAGTGGTTCAAGCCTTCATCAGTTTGGTCAGAGACTTCATTAAGGTACCAACTTTATTTTCAGGTGAAGAAAACAAAAACGTAAAAATCAGATCACTCCGATTTAACAGTAGAAGTCTATAGAGCGGTAAAAGTGATTACTAACTACTCAAGTTACTCAATAATATTTTCACGTTGGGAATAAAAGCGGTTACATCAACAATATGATCAAATCTAGTTAATTTTAGCTTCATCCCTACGCACCCATTGTATCATGCTGTTAAATCATATAAAAACAAACGTTCTTGAATAATCCTAGGAACGGTAAATTTGACTTGATCGGTGAAGTGACCTGAGTTAACAAACAATTAAGTGATATTTACAGGGTAACATAAATACCACAAAGTTAAATATTCGTTTACTGATAAACAGATGGCAGACAAGTCCCACTTCAATCTCAGGGTCTGTGCAACAAGTACATCGATCACAAACAACAGAAATTCTTCTTTATTCTGCATACATAAAAATTAAATATATTCGTCATTAGAAATGTTACATAACACACACTGTTACGTGCAGTACATATGCTAGAATTCATGTATATGTTGTATTAAACCTCTCGTCTATCACCTATTTC